GAGGGCCAGGAGGTCTCCCCTCAGCCTCCTCTTCTCTAGACTAAACCCCCAGTTCCCTCAGCCACCCCTTCCCTGCAATGCCTGGCCTGGAAATGACCATTTCTGTCCCCTAGACTCCCCTGGCTGTCAGTGCAGAGAGCTGAGTGGGGAGGAGCTCTCTGTGTTTCACCCTCTCCTCCTCTTACCTGTGTGGATTCGCATGTGGTTCTTGTAATTAGTGGCACTGGTGAAGCCCCTCCCGCAGTTGGGCTCCGGGCACATGTAGGGCCGCTCGCCCGTGTGCGTTCGGACGTGAACTTTGCGGATGTTGGATGTGGTGAAAGAGCGGCCACAGCCCACAAAGGGGCACTTGAAGGGACGCTCACCTGCATCGACAGAGTAACGTGGATGAGAGTCCTGCTACAACGCAGCGACCTGGAATGCCCTGGACACCCAGATCCCTTCGCTCCTGCAGAGTATTACCACAATGAGACCTCAGATCAGACCCAACTGCTGGCACATCTCCTCTAGCAGCACTGCCATCGCTTCCCCTTTTGCTCTGCAGTTCATAACTGAGTTGAAAATCCCTAGGACTACTACTACCCATTTACTTCTGTCTGAAATAACTTAGTTCTGCCTTGCTTCAACCAAGATACAAAAAGGCAAGTCCTGGGAAAAGGCTGAAGCAGTACTTTATCCTGGAGACCCTTTCAAGGGGAAGCTCAGTTCTCCTCCTGTACTGCTCACCCGTGTGTGTCCGGATGTGTTTCTGTAGATCCCCCGAGGTTTTGAAGGCTTTACTACACATGTCTTCTGGACACTTGTATGATTTCTCACCAGTATGTGTTCTCATGTGGCTCTTCAGCCCATACCCTGTCCAGGAAAGAAACCGCAATTAATTTTATAATGAGAAGGAAATAGTATGGCAAGTGTGTTATCACTTCTCAGCTCATGCATTTTCAAACATCTGCCCTGTGTCTGCAGAGCTGAAGAGGAAGAAGTATCTGAGCAGCCCCACACCACCACTGTCAACTCAGCTTCTTCCTGTAACTCCTTTAATCTGTCCATAATCAGTGAAGTCCTGGGCAGCCTCCCTCCTTCTCAGAAGGTTTTAAAAGCTATGCAACTTGTTCTCTGCTGGAAAAAAGCCAGGGCTGATACTCAAGGGTGGTTTAGACTGAACAGAAAACAAAATTTCCTCAAAAGAGAAATCATTACCTGTAGCAAATGCTTTCCCACAGCTTGGGAAGTCACACGTATATGGCCGGTCACCTGTGTGAGCACGTTCATGGACCTGGAAGAGAATGAACAGGTCCCTAAAATGAGGTTCAAGACAAGGAGGAAGGCAAACAGTGTGGAGAAATCTAGCTGGTGGGGAAAATCTGAAGTTCTCTTGGATTTCACTTTGGCCAGTTAACACATCTGGATCTCTTGGGGAGCGAAGCACACAACAGCCTTTTGCATAGCAGCACCTGGCTGTTCTGATCTGGTGCTGTAACACGGGGACACGTCTGGTCTGCTCACTGTGTGACTGCACGTTACCAGCTTTACCTTTAGATGGTGGGCAGTGGTATAGAGGCGGCCACAGCCTTTGTACCCACAACGGAAAGCTCTGCTGCCGACCTGCTGCCCCTTCTCATTGCTGGACACTTCCTCCTCCTGCAGATCCTGCACCAGAGACATATGGAAATTAATTCAGTGAGTCACTACACCAGGCTTCATAAAGCCCACACAAGTCATTTCCCTCCTTGCTATATGTATGCACTCCTTCAGTTATTCACCCCAAAACACATTCCTACAAACACAGCTCGTACCCATGTGGTGCAGCCCAGGAGACGGGACTGGGGTCTGGGTAGCAGCATTTCCCATTCCCAGCTCACTGGGTGTTCTCAGACACGTAACTCACCTCTCTGTGCTTCACTAAGCTCATTTGTAAAACTTGTAGCTAATGTATTTACTAACTTTGCAGAGAAGCCACAACACTTTTTTAATTACTAGCTGGCAAAGTGCTCTGCATCAAGAGGAGTTTGGCCTAGTTTTAGAAATGCATCACTGAAAAACTCAGACCTGGGAAGGGATGTCACTGGAGTCATCGCTCTTCGTATGGCAGGTGTCTGTCACTCCCTCCTCTTCCTCATCAGACCCCTGCAAGAAAAAAGCACAGGCACTGTTTGTGCCTCCCTGTACAGTATGGAACAGTTGAGCAACCCAAGCAGGGGGGCATTCACATCTACAGTGCCACCCTGCTCTTCTCCAGAGCACTAGGCGAGCCTGGTCCTACCACAGCACAAAGGTCTCCACCAGCAAATCAACGCTGCCCAGCTGAGCACCGTGTCAGCACCCTCCTGGCAGACCCTTCTCACACAGCACCGTGAAGATGGGGGAAAACAGCAGCACCCGAGACATTCAGATGAGCACTGCAGTAATAACATGTTAGGATATGAAGCTATTTTGGGTTTTGAGGTCTTTGTCAACATGAGGAATAGCAGCCATAATTTAGTCACTCTTGAGGAGCTGAGTAGCCTCGACACTCCTAAGTTGAGGCTAATCTCAATTGGCTGCATGAATCATCTGGGGAAGAGAATAATACCCAGGTGCCATCATGAGAAACCCAGGCAAACAGAAAGAAAACACATGCAAGGGACATTTCACAGAATCAGAATCTCGGTTGGAAAAGCCCTTGAAGCTCCTCCAGCCCAACCCTGAACCTCCCCCCGACCGTTCCCAACTCCCCCAGATCCCTCAGCGCTGGCTCAGCCCGACTCTCCAACCCCTCCAGGGATGGGGACTCCCCCCTGCCCTGGGCAGCCCATTCCAACGCCCAACAGCCCCTTCTGCACAGAAATCCTTCCTCAGAGCCAGCCTGACCCTGCCCTGGGCAGCTTGAAGCCATTCCCTCTTGTCCTGGTGCTTGTTACTTTGTTAAAGAGACTCATTCCCAGCTCCCTGCAGCTTCCTTTCAGGTAAAAAGAAAAGCCAAGCTGTATCACAGCAGCTCTCTGCTGTTCCCAAATCTGTGCCTGCGGCAGGCTAAGGGTGGCAGGCCCAGCACTCTGTAGGAACTAGCTAGAGGGTCTGGCAGGAAACTGCCCTGTTCTAGGTCCTTAACTGTCAGCCACCTCTCAGTAGTGGTACTCGCCCTAGAGCCCTGTCCAGTCGCTCTTCTCGAAGCTGGCACTGCTGAAAAACAAATATACAGAAGGACTAATGAAGGGAGGACACTTAAACCTCAGGCCAAACGTGGACTACTACACCAGCCCCTCAGCGCCGCTGGCAGACCATGGAAGAGGCGCTGCGTCCTCACCTTACTGGCGTACTGCTTTAATGCATTAATGGTCTCAACATCAAAGGCATCATCTTCCTCCTCTCCAGCCAACTCCTCTAGCCCACTTTCTGCCTGCACTTCCAGGATGGTGCTGCCAGGTGGCACGATGACAGGACGATGGATGTAGGCGGTGGAGCCATCCTCCAGCTGGACAGCCTCAAAGGTGTTGGGGTCATAACTTTCTGCAAGAGGAAACCAATAAAATCAAATGTAAAAGAGCTGCTGAGTGTGGGGCACTCTCTCTGGGCTACTCGCAGCCTTGGAAATCTGTGATGTTTTAGCAACTTCTGCTCCAGCTGCCAAGGGAAGAACAGGGAATACTCTTTACCTTTAGCTGCGTTGTGTATGTAGGCCATACTGCCATCTTCCAACATCACTGGCTGACCATCTTCAAAAGCCACAGACTCTAAAAGAAAAAAAAATCCACACACTTTACTGGGAGACTTAGATGGGATGGAGGGGATCCTGCGTCAGTTCCTGAACCCTACAGAGCTCACGCCCACAGAAGAGGACACAGCAGGGCTTGCACTGAGAGTCAACCACAACTGTAGGTTTTAAGACACCATCTGAGCCCTTCTGACATGAATTATGAGGTTTTTAAGGCTTCATGCACAACTTCATCACACCTCTTTAGCTCACTGGGGTAATGCACTATCTCATCAATTCCAAAATGCCAGACAAGAAGGATGGGTCTGGCACAGGGCTGGGTGAAGTAGAACATAAATGTACCACAGCAGGGGAGAGAAGGAAAACCCTTCACACGCTGTGTGTGCATTTGGAGGCAGGGAAGATGATGAAGGGAGGAAAGGGGCACAGCCAGGTGTACAAACTGGGTTTTAAGCAACCTGTTAAGAACAGAAAAGGGAGATGGCATACTAGGAGCTTGGGAAGGTGAAGGAAGGACTGCCCAAAGCACCAGAGCAATTTCTACCTCCCCTTTTACATCTTATCGTGGTCAGGGAGGATGCCTCTGTGCCACTCCGGTCCCTGCCTCATGAAATTAATTCCCACTTCCTCTCATATTAACTAATGTCACCTCATACTGGAGGTGACATTGGCTGATGGGTCAATGACCATGCTTCCAACAATCCCCACCCTCTCCCTGCAAACGCCTATTCCAGAAGCAATACATTATCTCACATTTCAGAGGAAATTCCTGTCCAACTGCTCCCACATGAAACAAACTTTGGGCTCTGTGGTTGGCACACACAGCACACAGCTTACGGCCTTGTTTGTGATCTGTCAGACTGACAACAGTGAGAGAGCCCACATGTGAAACAACACTAAAACATTTGCTTACACCACCAGCAAATTCACCTTCTTGTCAGATTGCTAAAAACTGCAGGAAATCACATGTTCTACGTCCTTGCTCATGCTCAAAACCATGGGCCAGAAAAAAAGAAACCTACACCTATATGGACTTCTTAAAGTTAGAGCTAACAGAGGAGCCCGACTGTTGGAACACAGCTGCAGTTACATCTACAACATCCTTCTAAAAAGAAAGAGTCCTCACCTTTCTGAACTGTCACCTGATGGATATAAGCTGTGGTCCCATCTTCAAGTTCAATGACTTGCCCTTCAATCAGCTTTTCACCTGAAACAGTTATAAAAATGCCATCAGCACCGTCAGCAGAGGCTAGTCTTTCTGGTCCCATGAGCTGCTCCCTTTGCTGTGTCTTCTCAAGGAAACCAGTCTCACAGAAGACAGCAAAACTGTTGCTTATAAGCTGTTATTTATCAAGCTTTCCCCTGAATAGCCATAGAGGCACTTAACTTCCCAGAAATGCTGGAGCCTCCCTTTCCTAGACAGGAGGATACAAGACAAAGAACCTCAGTCATTGCTTGTTTACAAGCTGCACTTCACAGCTCTGTAAGCCAAGAAGCAGAAAGAATGATGTGTGCTAAGCATTTTGGATCTGAAGGAGAAAGCAGTTGCACTTGTGCTGGAGAAAAATTCAACTGGGAGATTTTAACAGCATCAGCAGGGGCCTGAAGATTTATTTTCTTCTACTTTGGTGGAGGATCAACTCTTGGAAAAAAAATTACAGGACCTAAAGGGACGTAAAATGTTGCCACCCTTGGTGGTCGTGAAGACTGGACTCTTAAAATAACATAAATCTGAGTAACCCTGTAATAATACTAGTTACCAAATTATTTTGATGCAGAGAGGATATTTCTCTATTCCACTTGAACATGAGGAATCCAGGTTGCTTTCAGCTGGTGCATAATGTTTGGGGGGTGTGTGTGTGTGTGTGTGTGTGTCACAAAACCCAGCGGTTTTCAAGATAGTCTGACTCCACACACGGAATAAACTCGCAGTGAGTTTTCCCAGAAAAGGAACCAAGAGAGCAATCCCCAGGACATGAAGACTTGCAACTCAACCGTCCTGTTCCGCAGGCTGGGAAACAGAGTGTTGCTTTTCTCAGGAACAGTGGGGTGGTGAAGGAAGGAGCACCTCACAAACACCAAAATAAAGGGGTACCAGGTTTGTGTGGCGGGGTCTTTGGTAGCAGGGGAAGTGGTTGCAGCGGTGACCCCCTGGGCTTAAACCACAACATAAGGGCATATGTGGAATTTGATATCACTTCAGTTAACCAACGCCAAGGTCAGCACCCCTCTAAGAGAGAAAAGCACTACTGTGAACCAAATACTATGCATCTCAGTGAAATAAAACATCCTCCTTCGCTTCAGGGGAAGTTTTGGTTGAATAGTCCTGCAGGCCATGGGGTGGACTCCATTTCCCCAGACACTCTGAAGAGAAGAGGGCTCACTCTAGTCTGAACAGAACCTTCATTTTCTACAGCAACAGCTCTCTCTCCTCCAAAGCTTTATTTCCAAATCAGAGGCATGTTTTATTTCTGTTGTGTCACTCTTCTGTGCAAATCTAACCAATAGCTGCTAGCTGCCCGTGCCAAGCAACCAAATGGGATGTATGATATTTTGTGTGCTGTGAGGGCACTTTGGCTAAGTCTGCTTTAATTGCACAGAGTCATTCAAGAAGCTTTTAGACTTTGCAGCCCAAAGGAACCGTTACCTTTGACAGCCTGCTGAATGTAGGCTGTCGTCCCGTCACTAAGGGTCACTGCTTGCAAGCCCAAGCTCTCCATCCTGCCCTGATGACTGGTCCTCAGACATGAATTTCACTTTACTCAGAGTGCTCGCAGAGAGCACCGGCACCCAGAGCAAGAGCTTTGTGGAACAGAGAGTTGTCTTCTTTGTTGCAAGCCTTAAATAAAAAGAACAATTCAAATTTTGTTTCCTCCCAACATATGTATACTCACTTTTGTACATTAAGAAAGGCTTGGATGGCAAACTGGTTTGGAGATTATAAAGGATGAAACTGAACAAAAGACACATCCCTTCCCACAGCAATGTCAGGCAAGGCTAACAATCTGTTCCACAGACAAACATAAAATAAAGCTTATCAAGCCAGTGAACTGATAGACTCTGTCTAGATATAGTGTAAATGCCACATTGAAGCTCTCCCCATCCTCCTAATGAACTGCGGGAAAGTCTTCTGAGTATTTTAAAGTCTGAACCTGCAGGCTGAGGGTGTCCTGGACTGCAAGAGACAGGGGCAGGATGATGAGCTTTGTCCCTGGAAGCCCTCCTCCCTTTCCTGTCTAATTCCTGGCCTTCTGAGGAACAGAATTTCAGGCTATAAGCAGATGAGATTAAAACATCCACACCCCCACAAGAACATTTTGCTAAAGAGTCACTCTGCTGACAGATTATCTTTAAAAGCAGCTGCAGTGGATTCTTCATGAGTAATCTTTGAGATAGCCTAATATTTTATCATTTTGATTTCCAGGAACAAGTCTGACTGCTCTGTCACTGCAGCACCCAGGCGTGCAGCGAGGCTTTATGCCACACTTACTGCTCTCTAACCCCAGTGCCCCAGTGCTCCTCTCCAGGGGCAGCACTCTCTGCCTGACTCCTCAGAGGCACTGCAGCTCGTTTCTCAGCAAACCTCCGTCCCAGCAGGGTCGTTGGGGTACCGCTGGGGCACAGTCCCCTTTGAGCCGCTATGGCTGCCACGCAAACCGCTGTCAGCGCTGCTGGAGGGGCCGCGGCTCCCTGGAAGGGATGGGGTAGGCGCTACCCGAGGAAAGCCAGGTGTAGGCTGCGGTGCGAAGCCACCCAGGGGATGACAGGGGACGTGCCTCCCGCGTCAGGGCGGGCTGCGGACAGGGCAGGGCCTGACGCCCTGAGGGGCAGGACGGGGCCCGGCGCCATGGCGAGCCCTGAGGGGAGCGGCAGGGCGGGGCAGGCCCAGGTGCCCTGGGGGTAGTGGGGAGACATGGCGGGTCCCCCGCACCCCTCCGTATTGTTGA